CAATTCGTACCTCGAAAACTGTGTGAAAAAGCCCATAACCTGTTGTCAGTTCCAGACAAAGAATGCACTTTCAAACACCTAAAGCTGTATGCCTAGTACATGGTTGACATCCAGATAACGTTTGGTATAAAGGACAAATAAACCCCCGATTTGAACGCGTGCACCACAGAAGCCGGGTGTAGAATGTACCTACAAGCAACCGAGTCCATATTCATCTGTTGCACCTACTTAGCCGATGTCCTGACAAAACAAGGTTCCCATCACGGAAGCTCTTCATTGGAATTACTTTCCACCTCCCTCAGATATGGCACTCAACACATGCAATCAGCCAAGCATCGCAATTCAGTCAGAATTATTCCCTTTCTATGGATTTTACTTGTGGAATTAACCAAGTCTCTGTTGCCTAATGGAAACTGGCTGAAATCCACGACCAGTAGCGAGACAGCTGTGGTAGGTATCTCTAGTAGACTTCCTCAAGTAAGTAGGCAAGGATCCGTTATTGAAATCGCCATGAGCAACACGGCTCAGCTATTCCCTTTCGGTCCCACGCAGTTTTGGTTTGATATTTGTAGATGGAAAGTGGTGAACATACGCCTTGTTCCTATCGAAATGTTTTTTCTCGGACAACAATTAAAAGGGGCTTCCAGTTGGGAGGTAGGTATTCTTGCATGATATTTCCCGTCCGGTTATAATATTTTGCTGAGTTAGGGTTCGATAAAAGCACCCCCGAATGTGACAGACTTTACCACCACGAAAGTTCTTGCACTGCAAGCGAAATGGGTTTGTATAAAAAGGCTTAGGGGCACCATTTGGCCAATTCATCAGTAGTGCACATCGCACGGATCCCCAGGAGGGATTCGAGTACGCGACCTTCCGGTTAGCAAATGAAGGCTACACCGTTCAGGCACGAGCGACTGATGAGCATTGTGGTCAGCTCTTATTCATAAACGGTACAGCACCGCGGAATCCCCACCACGTGGTCACATATTGACTGGCTACTCGACTGGAGGATTCTTGGATGGTCGGGTCACGTATTGTGTGAAATGTTCTCCTTTCTGAGCTACATGCAAATCACTAGTCGTATGGGTGTATTTGATATTGATGTCTGTCTTGCGGAAAAATCAGAAAGTACTGTAAACTCCCATTCTTATTAAATTCAAATTCAGATTGGACTGATACATCAACATGGTAGAAGATGAGGATAAAAGCCCAGTCGCAGTATCTCGGTATACAAAAGAAACGGAGCGAAATTTGTCTGTTATCCGAAGTTAGGACATCCGAGCCAACAGTTCCCAGATGGGATGATACGAGATGCCATCTCGAAGGTCTGTACAGTATGTCCGCTTTGCCCAAACGTCCAAAAATATCTCAAATGCTGTCCCAAGGAACGTATTTAAAAGGGATTTGAAATGGTGTAAAATTCATCCATATTGTAATACATGCCCATACACTAACCACTAGAGCAGACCTCCTGAAGAGAGACTGCATCCTGAGAGAATCTAGAGCACGTAAATCAGCCAGATTTGTATAGAATTCCGCTTTCTGAGCAAAGAATGTCTCATATCTCCACTGAAGTCTCGACACGGTCCCCTGATGAACGATTATGCGCCTGAAGGGTGGATTTTTTATCGGTCACCTGCTGATTTCAGTGAGCGACAGCAATGCCCCATTAGTACATATATCTATGAGTGGAAATAGAGGTTAAAGGGAAGTATTTAGTACGGGAGGCCGAATTTCACAGTGAAAAATGCCCAAGAATAAACAGTCTATATTTTATTCAAGAAAACCTCTCATAAGGTTCCTGAAAACTTTTCGAGAGCCCACAACCTGTAGTTCATCAAGTGGGTGCAGTCCCCGAGCTTATATCGATCTTATGCAATACCTGAAACCAAATGAGGGAGCAAATGAGTGTATTCTGTGAAAGTGTTTACATCTTCTAACGGCATTGGAGCAGAAAACCGGAGCCTAGTGTCTGAGTAGGATACGGTATTAACCAGCAGCCTTTCTACACCTTACCTAACAGAAGTTCAGTGTATGTTGAGAGACAGACCTCAGTTGGGCACCAAGGTTTGGAATCGCAGGCATTTTCGCCACTGGAATCAGTTTCTTTTGGTAACAAAATGCAAATCATGATTACAGTAATGATCACATCATCGTCAACATCATCAGTGACAGAAGAACCAGTGGTACCAAGAAATTATCAGGGAATGTTCGTGCAATGTTGTGGAATATGGGTAGCTCAAGTGCGCTGCTTGCTTGTAAGTCTGTTCGCCGAGCCAGACAGTTGGATTGCAAACGTTTCCTCACCAATCGAGGTAACACGCAACCCCACACTGACTACGTCACCTCGATTGGTGATGAAACATTACAATCCAACTACCAAGCTCGGCGAAGAGACCAACAGTCTCCAGCTGTGATGCGGACCCAACAGACCTAACAACAGATACTGCTATCCAGCCTCAAACCAACAATTAATCATCATCATCATTGTCAGCTGTAAGAACCGCGTACTCGTCGTAGTGGTTGTAGATGCCGCAGTTTCATTCACCGATGATTTGGGGGGGGGGGCAGGTAGCTGCGAATTGCACGCGCCAGCTGGTAAATTGGTGCATAAATCCAGCACTGTCAGTGGGCCGTCAAGTGGGGGGTTGGAAAAGAAGCTATGCATTGAAGGTAATAGCTTGGATGCACGAGCGCCATTGAGGGTGCGACTGGGTCATGTCTGATAATGTCTCTAGCCATTGATGTGGCCCGTCTTGGGGTCCCCATCCAGGAAGACGACAGTGACCAGCGCAGCTAAGTTTGCTGGTAATGGCTTTCACACTTCGCTGCCAAGTCACTGTTTGGCCGCCTATGGCTCTATTCCACCCTTCACATGGTTGGGCGAAAGGAGCCCTTCGAGGAAGTCGGTCGACTGGCATACGCAGCACGTGGCCAAGCCCGCGCAACCTGTGCAGTGTGATCAGTTCATCTATCGAGGGTGAGTTATTTCTCCCAAATACCATTCGACGTACTTCAGCATTGCTAATCGGGTGTTCTCACCAGATTCGGGCAATGCTCCGAAGACATCGATGGTCAAACAACCAACCGTTAAACGCAAGAAATAATCCCCCAGTAACTAGTGAAAAGCAGATGAGGCTGAGGAGTGGGAGCAAAAAAAAACATCACAAGTCTCTTGGGAGAAAGATCAACAACAAATAGTCCGCAAATTGAAATAACATTACAACCGACTCATTTGAGAATGTTGTTCGAGAAAATCCGAATTGCTAACCCACAATGCTTTTGACACTCTCCTAAGAGAAAACGAATTCACGATAGACAAATTTTCGCTCCGTAATTCGACTAAAAGTGACAGCATGTTGTGCCATGTCCTACGAGGTTTCCATTATATTTCTAGAAGTCCAGCAGACTTCAGCCAGGAAGACACATCAACCCCAGTGTACCCAGCTGACAGCAGCCGTTTCTTGACAGTTCATGCTACCCATAAAGCGGCTGAGATCTTTTCGACAGCAACCTTATAAGTAGCATAATATGAGCGGAAAATATTCGATGATATGTTGGAATATCGGTAGATCGGGTGCACTCATTGGTAGCTGGTTAATTAGTTACTTAGTTAACACGTGGTTGTGAATCAATTCGGTTTTTCTAGCTCGAAAAACAAACCCAACCGACTGTCAGTCCTTTGATATCTCGAATAGAGTACCATGTAAACCATGTGGTAACCTGTAAGCAGCGCATTCAGTTAGGAATTATCACAAAAGGTTAAATTCGGTTGAGTTTCCCCTTTACGAATGAGTGTCTTGCTTCAGCGGTTGCTTCGGGTGTTGGCTGGCCGGATGTCACTAGAGGACTTAAATAGTGCAACTCAGACAGAAGTGAACTACCTATTTATTGCCACTCGCAGCTCGAACCCAAAGGGATGAATGGACGAACATGAAGAACGTTGGTGCCTGAACAATAAGTTCCCTGAGGAATATTCATCATCATCATCAACGACAGCATGACATCAGTGCTCAACACCAATGCTTCACTGCCGTACAGCCATGACTTATTTGAAAGCCTTATTGTAAAGAAAAGAATAAAGGTGGACGGGGAAGGGACTTAGTGCTAGCTTAACACAATCATTCCGAGGTGCCTACACCTCCAGACATTCATTCAGGCAATCTGGACAGAAACTGACAACAAGAACGCCACTGACATCGGTTGGCAGCCATATCTTGTAGTGTCTCCAACCAGGCACAGTGAGGATCACGCGGTCCACATCCTGGAAGGCGAGTAGCACCGACAGCAACCAAGCGTTTCGTGATCT